CTATGAACCAAAATTGAGTTATTCACTTCTGAGATGTAATAGTGGTATAGGCATTGGGTTAACACTCAGGTTCCAATGGGGAGAAATCAGTCAAAAGAAAGGCGCTCTGTGTCCTGCAACTTGGGCACACTGGTGTAAGGAGAAGCCCCCCAAAGCCTCGGGCAGCCTTGCCTCCCTGGCTTTGCTGAGCACACCCCACATGGCTCCTTTCACAGACTGGAGTCTGGTGCCTGCAGCTTTTCCAGGGTGAGGGTATACGCTGCCAATGGTTCCACCATTCTGGGGTCTGAGGGCAGTGGATCTCCCCCACAGCTCCATAAGGCAGTGCCCAGGTGGGGACTCTGTGTGGGGCTCCCACCCCTACATTTCCCCTCCACATTGCCCAGTAGAGTCTCTCTGTGGGAGCTCTGCCCCTGTGGCAGGCCTTTCTCTTGGGTACCCCAGCTTTCTGATACATCCCCGAAATCTAGGTGGAAGCCACCAAGTCTCTGCCACTTCCACCTTCTGCATCCCTAGCCCCCCAAATATCACGTCTTTCTCAAACTACAAGCATCCTTTCCTAGTAGTCCCTCCAAATCTTAGCACCTTTATCTTGCAGAAATTCTGCCATCTCTAGAAAACAACTCAAAAGGTCAACTACTTACTTAAAAGTCACAAGGTTCTGGTCATCAAGCCTTAAACTGGACTAGGAGGCCACAAGACATAAAAGTGGAAACATGAATGGGTGAAAACATGTATGGGTGTTCATCTTGTGTTTGTTCCTGGGGCCACGAACAATATTTTCTTCTATATTCACCTTCTTTTCTACTTTGTCAGTCTGATGACAAATGCATGTTTTTTTTACAGAGAAGGAAGCCAGCACCCCAAGCAGAAAGGAAACTGAACCTGACTATGTAGTGTCTCAGTTGAGAGGTAAACAGAGGTGTGGCATCATCCCTTTCCCATCAGAGAACCAACTATAACTTGCACAGTGCTCATGCCCGTTAGAAAAAAACTCCCCATGGTGCCTGTGGCTCAAGGAGTAGGGTGCTGCCCCCATATACCAGAGGTGGCAGGTTCAAACCCAGCCCCAACCAAAGACTGCAACGAAAAGAAAAACACTCCCCTGGGAATATGTGCAAGAACATGGTGGAGATGTAGGGTCAGGGCAATGAGATGGGTCTGTGTTCTGGGCAAGGAGTGTGGGGTCATGAGAGAGCTTCCAGACTACAGAGAGCGGGATGCATCACACAAGGTTTTCATTCCTGCTAAGTCTGTCTTTTCTCTTCAGAAAAATGGATATTTAAGCCAGAAGAGCCAAATCTAAATATTTTATATGAGCTGGAGGTAAGAAAATATTCGTCATTCCAATTAATACACTGTTGTCGTGGTAAAAATAGCTTTATTCAGTCTTCAACTTTTTTTTTCTCTCTCTCTCTCTCTCTTTTAAAATTTAGTTTAAGGAAGACTTCATAATGTTATTTGAGCCTTCTCTAAGAACACTGCCCAGCGTTGGACCACCATCCATTCTGGCATACAGAAAAGAGCTTCCTGATTTAGACCTTAACTTCAAGGTGATTTTAATTCATATTTTTATTATGACTGTAAAAAATAACATTAAAATAACACAAAGATTCACATACTGATTTGTACAATAGGCAGTGAATCTACTCAAAAGAAAAAAAAAAGCCAAGAAGCTCAGTTACGCAGAATAGCACCTCAAGTGTCTGTGTCAGCCCCAAGCTCTAGTTTCCTGGGGCTGCTGTGACAATGCACCACAAACTAGGCAGCTTAAAACAACAGAAATTTACTGTCTCTTAGTTCTGAAGTTTAGATGTTTGCAGTCAAGGTATTGACAAGGCCAACATGAAGGGAAGAATCCTTTCTTACCTCTTCCTAGCTTTTGGTGGTGGCCAGCAATCCTTGGCTTGCAGCTGCCTCCCTTCAATCTCTGCCTCACTTGTTGCAGCATTCTCCCTGTGTATCTGTGTCCAAATGACCCTCTTTTCTAAGGAGTGTTTCTAAGTTATATTGGGGTAGGGCCCCTCTAATGACATCATCTTGACTTGATTACATCTGCAGAGACTGTATTTCTAAATAAAGTTCTGTTCACAGGTATCAGGAGTTAGGACTTCAATGCATCTTTCTGGGGAACAAAATTCAACCTGTAACAATGGCTACAAAGCCTGGAAACACAGGTGAACATTTGCCATATTGGATCACGTTAAGTGACCGATTAATGCAAGTTCTCCAGTAATTCTAACAGGATGGCTCATCACTCCACTCCACTAGCATGGTGAGGGGATTATTTTCAAACACAGATCGGATGGCATGGCCATGTGGAGAGCACTGCCTCCTGCCCAGATCCAGACCCTTTTGATGACTTCTTCTGGGTATGATAAAAGTGCCAATTTATTCACTGACAGTGGGGCCACACTGATCTGGTGTTCATTGCCATTTGGTACAGCACATTGAACTAAGCAATACTAATGTGGGACCACATATTAAATATATCAGATGATATAATCTATAAGCATTTACAGCTTATATTTACCCAGGTTTCTAAACTTAATGTTCACTCCGTAGGCTCTTTAGGCTGAAATTCTTTATTCAAACATAGTACCTTCCTTTTTCTGAATGACAAAGGCTTGTAATCAGGGAAGTCTTTTGATCAAGGGTTATCCTCTTTCACCTCACAGCCAGCGATGGGCCTGAACGTGGGAAGGCCTCATAGCCTCTCTTTCAAGACATCCCTGGACAAAGCTGGCTCCTCCAGCTCCCCCGCAAACCTTTCAGGTCCGGCATTGACACTTGTCTAGTTCAGAGCTTCCCCAGCTTTCTTCTCTAGCCTCATCTTCTTCAAGTGCAGATCCCAGCTCCACTCATGGTCTTTGGAAATATCTCTTGCTTTGCCCCAGGCAACAGGTGAAAGGACCATAGGCTGAGTTCACTGCCAAGTCCCTCGTATGGAACTGGTTATAGATTGCCTGTTGCCAAGCCCTTTTCCTGCCCTGCTCCATCACTTAATAACTGTCTTAGACTTTCCTCTGACATCTCCCTAGTCTAAGACTTCCATCTCCAAGCATCCTGCTGCCAGCACCGTGCAGCACTTACCGTTGGGTAGTTTCAATGGCCTAAAGATGTTGGACATTACTCTGGGGTCGTTAGTCCCTGCACTGGCCACCTCAGTCACCCTCTGGCCCCATGATGGGCACTTCTGCCAGTCTCAGAGGATGGTTTCCCTGGCAAATACCAAAGCCCTGGTGGTGTCTGTGATCTGTGGGTCATGATCTGGGTCTTTCTGCGATGCCTATGCTGAGGCTTGGCAACTCATCTGCTCAGGAGCTGTACAGGCACAGACGTGACCTCAGGTCCCTGACGTGGCCGCAGTGTATCAGCTCCCAAGTGAATCACCCAGGCCCCTAACTCTGGCTCTTGCCTTTGTTTCCCCTCCCCCTGCCTGCCCCAGCCCTCCTGAATTACCTTCACAGCACAGACAGAATTCAGAGCTCCATCTCAGAGATCCTCTCAAGAAAGAATTCTTGTTTAGTTTAGAAAATAGATAATTATACATGGTGAACTACATAGTAACATCAAGGCTTTTTCTTACCTGATACTTTTTAAAAGATTTAATGATATTCAAACACCTTACACCACTTATCTAGAGGCTGCCCTCAAAGCTTCTAGGCCTCTTTGTTGCTCTGTCTTCATTTTATTCTTTGTCTCTGAAGGATACGGAGGAGGCAATGCCACCCGACTGTGAGTTTTGTGGAAGTGATCTAAGAGAATTTTTTTCTGATATGGACACTTACGCTGAATCAGTAGAATCCATAAGTTCTAAAGTAAGTCTGCTAAGGAAATAATAAGTATTTATTGTTAAATACTATTTTTAAACATACATAGTATTTTCTCCCATATCTTTCCCCTACGTTGCCATTCTCAAAAGAGTTATGTGTTAGATGTCAGTGAAGTGCAAATCACAACTATAATGGGATACCACTTTACAAGCACTTTGTGAATGGGGATAATTGTGAACACAGATAATAACAGTTGTTGGCGGCTGGGTGTGGTGGCTCACGCCTGTAATCCTAGCACTCTGGGAGGCTGAGGCAGGTGGATTGCCTGAGCTCATGAGTTCGAGACCAGCCTAAGCCAGAGTGAGACCTTGTCTCTAAAAATAGCCAGGCTCTGTGGCAGGCACCTGTAGTC